TCAAACAGGTATAAGCTATATATGTTTCTAAATATAAACTTAATCTAAACAATGTTCATATAAAAATAAATACATTACAATAATTTCGTTACAACTCCCTCCTTAAAGAATTAAAAATTGGCTTTACACAATTTTTAACTAAGACATTATATATATATATATATATTGGCAACAATGCATTATATATAATACATTATTCAAAAGATTATAAAACTTCAATAATAACCTTATGATCATAAAATTACAAAGCACATAAATCTGCGTCAGCACAAATGTTGTCAACCCCTTTGACATGGATTATGTTTAAATAATCTTCAAACTCCAATTTAACAGTCTTCTGTTTTTGCCCTTCATTTGGTTTAAAAACGTCAACGGGTTATGATCAGTGTAAATGATAATAGATTGTTGGGATACAGATACATACACATTGAAATGTTCTAAAGCTAACACTAAAGCCAATGTTTCTTTTTTCTACTATAGAATAATTCTTTTGATGACAATTAAACTTTTTCGAAAAATAACAAACAGGGTGTTCAATATCTTTGTCGTCTGATTGTAATAGAATGGCACCAGCGCCACAATCGCTGACATCAACAGCTAATGCGAAAGGCCTATAAAAGTCAGGTGCCATCTATACAGGGTAAGTGCATAACAAAGATTTGACCTTTTCAAAAGCAGATTGACATATTTCAGACCATTTGATTTTTTTTTCTCCAAAAGGTTTGTTAATGGTACAGTGATGTCAGCAAAATTTTTATAAAACTTCCTGTAATAACCAGTCATTCCCAAAAATCTCATCAAATTTTCTTGTTGGTAGCAGTTGGATAATTCACAATACAATCAATTTTGGCTTGAATTGGGCAAACTTGGCCATGGCCTACTACATGACCTAAGTAAACAACTCTGGCTTTATAGAAGTCACTTTTTCTGCCAAATTTACAGTGATATTGGCTTTCTTCAGCCTTTCAAAAACATCATGTATCATTGTAAATCACAATATAATCAACATAAATTCCGACATTTGACATTCATCATTCGCTGAAAAGTTGCTTGAGAATTTTTCTTCCCAAAAGGCATTACATTGTACTGGTATAACCCATCAGGAGTAACAAAAACAGATATTTCTTTTGCTCTGTCAGTTAGAGGAACAGCCCAGTATCCCTTCAGTAGGCACACTTTGTGATATATCTGGGTTTTCCAATTTTATCAATACAATCTTCCATTCTTGGAATGAGATAGGAATCTGTCTTTGTCAAAGCATTTACTTTGCAGAAGTCTGTACAGAATCTAACTGAACCATCAGATTTAGGGACCAGTACACAAGGTGAAGACCAATCACTTTTACTAGGCTCTATAATTCCATTTTCCAGCATGTAAGATATTTCTTTATGCATTTTCTTGGCTTTGATTGGATTCACCTGATAGGGATGTTGTTTTACAGGAGAAGCGTCACCTATATCTACATCATGTACAGCGATGGTTTGATTAGGAACGTCTGAAAATATACATTCGTATTCATTCAATAAACTAGCAAGTTGATTTTTCTCTTCAGGAGGCAAGTGATCGAGTTTTGAATCAAGATTGGCCAGAATGTCAGAATTATTCAGTTTGATGTTGCATTCGTTTCCAATATTTTCAAACTTATGGATTTCTGAGTCAAAGCAACTGCCATCAGTATGAGGAGAACACTCAATGGTTAAAATATTTTTTGATACTTCTCGTATGTGGTAGGGCTTCAACATATTAATATGACACAGCTGGGTAGCCTGTCGACTATCAGATGTTTTTACAACATAGTCTGTATCATTAACTTTCCGAACAACTTCATAGGAACCATGATACCTAGCTTTCAGTGAATGTCCCATAGTGGGTAACAATACCAAGACCATGTCACCAGGATGGAACTTACACTCTTCTGCCTTATGGTCATAAACATAGGATGACTTCAAATTTTCTCGAGCCAATTCACAAGCATGTAAGAGTCTGGATCGAAACTTGGAAACGTAATCCAATAAGTGCATTTCTTTTGGATCATCTTCCAACCATTGTTGAAAACTTTTGGAACTTTCTCCAGTTCATCTTTTGGGAGTGCATATTTAAATAGTGAAGAGATCTGCAGATCTTTTTCTTGTTCTGTGATCAGTTTACTTTTAGTAAATGGAACTTCACTAGGCAAATCAGATCCCTTACATCCATTGTTGTCCCTCACCGAGGTATTATCAGTAGGACGATCATCCACAAGATCCCCGTCAGATCCAAAAAATGTTTGAGACAAATCCATAACAGCGTCCTTTGAATCTATGTCTATCATTTGTTTTTGGCTTAATTTCTTAGCCTGAGTTCGAGTCACAGCACACGAGGGAAACACATCGAGATTCTCCTCAACTACATCATCATCCTTAGATGAAACAGTGCTCGACTCATTAACCATTTTAGGTTCGGAAACAACTTTTGACAGAGTAGGTCTTACTCCAACTACAACTGGTCCCGAAACTAGGTATGATGCTAAATAAATGTTATGGAGAGGAAAATAAACAAAGCTACCCTCAATACCCTGAGCAATAACAGATTCACCAGTGGCAGAACTCGAATCTAAAGGCAGTACACTTTCTAACAACAATGATTGAGTCGCCCCAGTATCACATAGAATACGTATGGGTATGGGATTGCCAGTGTCATTTGTCAAAGACACAGAACCAACAGACACAAAAGGTCTAAATTCCTCCCTGATTACATCCACCTTTATATCAATAACCATATTAACAACATTGGGTGATCTGGTGAAACTACGTCCATATGTGGACACAAACGCACTGGGTGTTGCCTCCTTTTCTTTTTTCTTCTTCAAACACCAACGATCAGACATAACATGACCAGGTTTTTACAAAAGTAGCAGACAGGCCTTGATTGTTTTAAAGAAGATTTATCCTGACTGTCAAAAGATTTCGAACTAGAGGAGCTGGACTTTTTAGAGGAATCCTCAACTTTAGTGGATTGAACAGATACAGGTTTTTGTTGAGATAGTAGGAATTACTTTTTATGAAAAGTGTTTTTGTATGTTAAAGTATAGTCATCGAAAAGAGCAACTGCTTCCTGTAGTGTTTCAACTTTCTTTTCATCTAAGTATGTTTGAGGTGGTCACGTGCACAATGTTTAAATTCCTCAATTAGGCATAATTGTCTTCGTTTGTCAAAACTGTTGACAATATGCATAGAATTGCACCATCGATCAAAATAAACCTCTTTTTCGTGGGCAAATTCCATATAAGTTTGATTATCTTGTTTG